GTGATAATGATATTGATAATAATAATAATAATAATAATAACAATTATAATAATAATAATGATAACATTAATAGTAATAACATAAGATAATAATGATAATAATATATATAACAATTATGATAATAGTAATGATAATAACAATGATACTAAATACTATAATGATATCATATATAACAGCAACAACAGCAATAGAAGCACAAAAAATGAATTAATGGCTAACAATGATATTGAGAGAAATGATAATCAGAATAACATCATTACCGTGATGTAGAAAAAAGAAATAATTTTCTATAAGAAGTCACCACGTATATTGTTACCATAGAAAACGTGAAATTCTAAAATTAATACTTTTGGTAAATTTGGAAATGCAAACCCACACCATTTTTTTTTGGGTGAATTGAATAATTTTCCAATAGCTTTCATCGTGTTTCGGACGAATCTAGAACTCATTTCCTTAGATAACTGGGGAGGGTATGATAGGCCTACATATCCGGGAATTTCGAGAAATATCGGTAGAATACGAGCAAGCATTGTATATTAACACATTTCCGGGTTGTATAGGGAGCTCCGACCCCTTTAGACCCCCCTGCCCCCCGCCTGGTCTACAAAATCTTGACCTCGTATGCACCGGCAGGAGAGAGCTCGGGCAAGCCAGGTATCTGACACGTTTACAGTAGATATAAGGGGCTTCGCACACTTATACTCCTTTTCAGGGGGGGCGGGGCGACCTCCCACCCCCCTGATCTACAACACTTTCACCTCGTATGTTCCGGCAGGAGAGAGCCCAGACCCAGGAACAGTTTGAACCTCACTTTACATTCAGCTTTAACTCCCGACGGGCCAGGCTGCGGGGCACTGGGGTCGTCGGGGTCATCCAGGTCGTTGTTGGCGGGAATTGCGTTCGCTTACAGTAAAGTTACACAGCTTTCTTCGTTTTGTTTTTTTAAATTCTTTTCATGCACCACAAACCCACTGGTGTCTGTCATTTCTGTAATGACACGATGTCTTACAGTGCGGGCATTGTACTTCCATTGGCAGTACACCGTGATGTAGATTTAGTAAGCTTGCTTCGTTTTCTTGATATTTCGCAGTGAAATCGAAATAATTGTTCTCACAACCTACACACACTGTCTAGCCATGATGGAACGGATTTGAATTTCAACTGCCTTCTCCCAGGCCCAGCTTCTATTGTCACGTGATGATGACCTATTCCATATCTGATTGGTTCTATTGGGTGTCTATGTTCACGTCACGTTCCCGCACGAATCTAATTGGCTCATTTGATTTCCCTCGCATACGTCATCCGCTACAAATCCGTCCGATTTTCCGTCGCTCTTAACGACTTTTGTGTCATTCTGTCGCGGCGTTGGAGGAGGGAGGCTGCCGCGGCTCCGGGAAATCGTAGATTCTATGTCCTCCATATCTCCGTTATTATCAATTTGCGCAGAAAATGGCATAAAAGAAAACTATCATAGAATGATGTGTTCTACCACATGGTAAGCTCAGATTCTTTAAATTAGGTGTGGAATTGCATTTCCAATAATGACATAATTTTTACTGAAGAAAGGGTGAAGTCATTCGCCGATGATCAATGCCAATATCAATATCAATGCCAATATCAAAAAATCAATAGCCATTTCAAAGGCAGTTTTTTAAGAATCCGTCGAATCCCTTGGGCGTCAGTATCCGCCAATATATATATATATTATATATATATATATATATATATATATATATATATATATATATATATATATATATATTATGTGATATAGTATATCATATACAGCGAACCTCGTTTTTCGCGGGGTTACGTTCCAAAAAGAACCCTTGATAGGCGAAATCCGTGAAGTAGTAGCCTTTATTTTTTTACAATTATTATACAATGAAATACTCTACAATACATTGAAACCAAAGAACAAAACCTTTTTACAGGCCCAGGCATTTGTTTAACAAATAAAAGTACCGTTTTTTTTTTTTTTTTTTTTTTCAAATAACTACTGTACTGTAAAATGATAATTTTAATCATCAATACGAACTGAAGGCTTCATGGGTTTTAGAGAAAATGTGCAAACTTAAATTTGGCAAGCTCTTTTACGTACATGTACATTGCCACAGGTAGAGAAGAAGCGGAGGCTGTTTACCAGTCAGAATGCAAAACACAATGCACAATGCAAATCCGTGAAGCAGCAAGAACGTGAAAGGTGAACATAGCGAGAGTTCACTGTATATAATTTCATGATTTACGGTATAAGATTAATAACCAAATAAAGGGAACTGTACAGTCTATATTAACTTTGCTGAGTTCTAGGCCATAATGTTGACGACCATCACTTTGGCTGCAGCGTCCAAGCGGCACTCCAACAATGGCACTGTCGTCCAGTTTTCCAACACTTTCAGCTCTTTCCTGATCAGCTGGACTTTCTTCTCTGCTCCTCGGTCCTTCCCTCCCCATGAGATGATGCGTGTCTTCTTGGTGGGTAGTTTGTGCTATCTTTTTTTGCCATTTTGCAGCCATGGGAGTCAGTTCAGGAAACGCTGGCAGATCTTGGGTGAAGCCGCAGTGCCAACATTTCCCTCACTCTTCCGTCCTCGAGGGAGTGAATGTGACGTCATATTTGTCTGTCTCCCTACTACTCTGCACTGCACGAACGGATACTCCACAATCCGCTTTTGGAGGAATCTGGAAAAGAAGGAGAGTGTTAGAATCTGTGAGGAGGTATTTGGTAGCGCGAGCGTGTGCTATAGACAAAGCAATTGAAAAAATAAAACAGTGATAAGGAGAACATAAGTTATATGTGAAGTCAATAAGCAGAATACTGAAATGATGCACAGAAAGATTAATCAGGAAACTTAACACACACACACACACACACCCATACACACACACACACACACACACACACACACACACACACACACACACACACATATATATATATATATATATATATATATATATATATATATATATATATATATATATATATATATATATCTCTCTCTCTCTCTCTCTCTCTCTCTCTCTCTCTCTCTCTCTCTCTCTCTCTCTCTCTCTATATATATATATATATATATATATATTATATATATATATATATATATATACTACGATCCTACAAGCATTCGAGAAGATGAGAGACAAAATCCACCCACCAGAAGATCCTTAATTTCCCTCCGTATCTTCGCGTCCATGAGGATCCCGAAGACGAAAATCCAGACACCTTGAGAAGAGGCTGAGAAGCTGAAGAGAATGGCAGAGAAGGGTGCATCTGGAAGCAAAAGGGAGATGAGGAAGGTTGGATGGATTTATTTCTCTTTTTTTGTTCTCTCTTTCTCTTTCTTTCATATGTCTAGTTTGCTCTCTCTCTATTCTTCCTTTCTCTTTCTTCATATGTCTAATTTGCTCTCTCTCTCTATATCTCTTTCTTTCTCTCTCTTTCTCTTTCTTTCATATGTCTAATTTGCTCTCTCTATATCTTTCCTTTCTCTCTCTTTCTCTCATATGTCTAATTTCTCTTTCTCTAATATCTAATTTGCTCTCTCTCTATCTCTTTCCTTTCTCTCTCTTTCTCTTTCTTTCATATGTCTAATTTGCTCTCTCTCTATCTCTTTCCTTTCTCTCTCTTTCTCTTTCTTTCATATGTCTAATTTGCTCTCTCTATATCTCTTTCCTCTATCTAATTTGCTTCTCTATGTCATATGCTAATTTGCTCTCTCTCATATGTCTAATTTGCTCTCTATATATCTCTTGCTCTTTCTCTTACTCATTCTCTTGCTCTTGCTCGGAGGATGAGGAGAAAGAGGAAAGAGATGATGATGAAGAGGAGGAAGATGATGATGAGGAGAAAGAGGAGGAAGAGAAAGATGGTAATGGTAATGATAATGAGAAAGATGGGGATAAGGAGGAAGAGAAAGATGAGGGTAACTAGGAGAAAAATGAGGAGGAGGAGAAGAAGGAGGAGGAGAAAGAGCAGGAGGAGAAAGATTAGGATAAGTAGGAGAAAGATAAGGAGGAGGAGAAGAAGGAGGAGAGAGATGATAAGGAGAAGAAGGAGGAGAGAGATGAGAAGGAGAAGAAGGAGGAGAGAGAAGAGAAGGAGAAGGAGAAGAAGAAGGAGAGAGAAGAGAAGGAGGAGGAGAAGAAGGAGGAGAGAGAAGAGAAGGAGAAGGAGGAGAGAGAAGAGAAGGAGAAGGAGGAGAGAGATGAGAAGAAGAAGGAGGAGAGAGATGAGAAGGAGAAGGAGAAGAAGGAGGAGAGAGATGAGAAAGAGAAGGAGAAGAAGGAGAGAGATGAGAAGGAGAAGGAGGAGAAAGAAGAGAAGGAGAAGGAGGAGAGAGAAGAGAAGGAGGAGGAGAGAGATGACAAGGAGAAGGAGAAGAAGGAGGAGAGAGATGCGAAGGAGAAGGAGGAGAGAGAAGAGAAGGAGAAGGAGAGAAGGAGAAGGAGAAAGAAGGAGAAGGAGAAGGAGAGAGATGAGAAGGAGAAGGAGAAGGAGAAGAGAGATAAGAAAGAGAAGGAGAAGAAGGAGGAGAGAGATGAGAAGGAGAAGAAGGAGATAGAAGGAGAAGGAGAAGAAGGAGGAGAGAGATGAGAAGGAGAAGAAGGAGAAGGAGAAGGAGGAGAGAGAAGAGAAGGAGAAGGAGAAGAAGGAGAGAGAAGAGAAGGAGAAGGAGGAGAGAGAAGAGAAGAAGGAGGAGAGAGATGAGAAGGAGAAGAAGGAGGAGAGAGAGAGAAGGAGAAGGAGAAGAAGGAGGAGAGAGATGAGAAGGAGAAGAAGGAGAGAGAGAGAGAAGGAGAAGGAGAAGAAGGAGAGAGAAGAGAAGAGAGAAGGAGAAGAAGGAGAAGGAGGAGAAGAAGGAGAGAGAAGGAGAGAGAAGAGAAGGAGAAGGAGAACGAGAAAGAGAAGGAGAAGAAGGAGAGAGATGAGAAGGAGAAGAAGGAGATAGAAGGAGAGGAGAAGAAGGAGGAGAGAGATGAGAAGGAGAAGAAGAGAGGGA